AGTGAGGTCAGGGAGCAAGTGGGAGTTTAAAGTGGGACAGTCACTTGGAAACTGGCAATCTATACTAATAAAAGGGTAATATGCTAATTAAACTGGATTGATCGGATGTCTTCCGGACATCCTTCTGGACAAAGCCATGTGGTGAGGCTGAGGCATAGGCGGTTAGGGGCAATCAGGCCAGCAGGGGAGAGCAGTTAGGGGAATCAGGCAGGGGGAGCAGTTAGGGGAATCAGGCAGGCAGGCAGAGGTGGTTAGGGCCAATCAGGCAATCAGGCAGTCAGGCAGAGGCGGTTAGGGACAATCAAGCAGGCGCCAGGCAGGCAGGCAGGTGAGCAATTAGGAGCCAGAGGGCCAGGATTGGCAGGGTTTGGGCCTAAACCAGCAGTTGTACATCCCCCGAGGGGTCCCGGATTGGAGAGGGTACAGGCTGGGCTGAGAGATCCATCCCCCCTCCCCCGCATGAATTTCATGCACTGGGCCTCTAATCCTATATAATAAAAGGCTAATATGCAAATTGTCCCCTTGACCGGGAGTTTGATTGGGAGTTCAACTGGAAGTTCAACTGGGGGCTGGCCAACCGCCTGTGGCCCCTCCCCCTGGCTGTCCCAGCCCCCGATTGCCCCCCCACACCAATTTGGGGCGGGGCTGGCCAGCAAACCGCCCACAGCCCCTCCCTCTGCCTGGCCTGATTAGCCCCCGATTGGGGCAGGCCAGCTGGACCCCATCTGTGCACGAATTCATGCACTGGGCCTCTAGTTTTGTATAAAGTTAAATTAACGTGTACCCAACAACCCAGCTGTTGCACATCCAAGTATTTCCTCACCATAAATAAAAATATATGTCCATACAAAGATCTGTAAAAATGTAACTGTCATTAGCTGATTACTGATGGGAAAGGAAGCAGGAGAGTCAGACATTGTTGAGCATCTTCAGCTGGGAAGCAGAGCCTGTTAGCTTTACCAGGAATCTAATGCTTCGCATCCCAGGGAATGGCAGAATTGTTCCTCCGAGGGGATGAACACCCTCCCTTCCCCCCCGATACCTGATTGTGTGTGGGGGGAAGCAGGGGGTGTTAAGGACATGCCCAGTAAAGTCAAAATGGCACAGGGGGAGGTGCTGGACCACAGAGGCTTGTCAGTCTAATCTGGGAAAGTGATCATTCGTCAGGGAGTAAACCCCATCAGAAGCCCCTGAAAGTTTGGGGAGCTGATTGGCTATTTTAAAAAAGCTCCTGGTTTCCTCTCAAGCTTGAGAATACATAATTCCAGGTAAACAAAGAATCTCTCTCTCTCTCTCTCTCTCTCTCTCTCTCTCTCTCTCTCTCTCTTTCTTTCTCTCGACCCACACTCACCATGTTTGTTTCTCTTTTCTCCCACCCGGGAACATGAAACCGTGCGGGTCTAGTGGCCATCTGGGGTCCCTGACAGACTGCAAGGGCTCCCAAGGGCTCTGAAGCAGAAATTCTGGGCATTGGCCTTTGCTTTGGCTCTGTTGATGTTTTCCATGGCAGGATGGAGGGAGATGGGAAATTGGGAAGCCAGGAGAACTCTTTAGATATTGCATCACAAGTAAACCATGCCACACCACACTCTCTCACGCGTGAATGCTGGAAGTGCTTTTCTCACGATTCCGTGGAAGAGCCTGTTTCCCACCGATGACACAAGGATGCTCACAGCAGCTTTATTCATAACAGTCAGAAAGTAGAAATAACCCCAAGACTGTCAGGAAGAGAGAGGATAACAAAGTGGTCCCTCACATGATGAGTTGCTGTTCAGCTGTAAGATGACCAGCTAGTGATGCAGGAATCTCAAAACATTTTGCTGAGGGAAAGATGTGATCCCATGACTGTGAGATTCTACAGCAGGCAAGAGTCATCTTCAGTTTAAGGGAGCAGATGAATGGTGAGGAGACTGACAGCAAAAGATGCTGTGTGCACTTGTAAAATGTCATCAGATGGCATTAAGATATGTACGTTCATTTCTGTGAATTGACTTCAATAACTGACTTCCATCCTCACTGTCACCTCAGGGACCATGATGACTGCCCTCACTTCTGCATCCCAGGAGGACAGCGAGAAACACTTGGGGCCAGAGGGAACTCTAGAATAGTTAGCTTCCTCCCAGTGACCTCCCTGTATGTCCCCTTGCTTCCACTTACGGCTCCTGGGCCATGACTAGCTGCAAGAGAGGCTGGCACATGTTGTCTTCTAGGTGGCGCAGTGTTGCCCTGAACACCAAAGAGGAAGAGGAGGGTAGGTAGGTGTGGGGTAACATGGAGCAGCCTCACTCCTCCTCCATCCACCCTGTTAGATGAGGAAGCCCTAATATCCCTCTTCCCAGCCCTACCAGGAAGCTCCCAAGGGGCCCTGGGCTGGTTCCCTGACCCAAGTCCTGATTCTGTGCATCCTTTGTAGAAAACAGATAACAAGCCTGCACTCCACCTGCCCCTTGGGGCCTGTCTAGAGTCCCCATGCTCCCTGTGAGACCTTCCCATGGTGTGGGCTGTCTGGAGGGGCCAGTGGGCCCCTGAGCCCCTGGCCTTCCTGCCCTCTCTGCACATTGTAAAGGTGAATCTTCTCCTCCCCACCATGTTCCCAGATCCCCATCCCTGCCTCTTCCCCTGAGTAGCTCCCCAGAGTGGAAGGCAGGCCCTGAGCTCCATTTTGCGGGTGAAGAAGAGTCAGAGGGAGAAAGAGGGTGTGGCACTAGGGATCACCCATCTTGTTCTGGATGCTGCTGGCCAAGAAGCCTGCGTGCCAGTGAATGGGCATGCCTGAGGTGTTCCAGATGTGTGTCTCCGCGTGACTTGGAGGCGGCTGGGCTGCGATAGGCTGTCCCCAAGGGCCCTTTGTGCGGCTGTAGGATTGCAACCCTGCCGCCTGTCCTGCACCCTCCGCCCTGGGCTTTCAGCAGTGGGCCACAGCCCAGCCTGCTCTAGGATGGGTCCCCTCTGAGTGCAGCATGCCTTGGGGGGAAGTCTCAGGGCCTGGGGTGAGCATAGTGGTCCTTGCCTTGGGAGGGCCTGCAGGTGAGGCAGGAAGAGGCCTTCTGTAGGGTCCTGGGTTATGTCGCCGGCCTCGGTGAGCATCCTGCACATGCACTCCAGTGGAGCAGGTCACGGGCAAAGCCCAGAGCCCACTAGTGAATGACTCTTGGCCTGAAAGACAGGTGCGGAATGGTGGGGTTGGGGCGTGGTGTTGACAGCAAGGGCCCGTTATCTGAACACACTCTATCTACTGCTGGGCGCTTGCGAGGCCCCCATGAGAGCCTTGCTCCTTCATCCTGAGTCTTCTTCATTCCTGCACATTTTCCCAGGTCACCCCCCAGCAATGTTGCAGGTAAAGGCTGAGGAAGACCAGACCCCATGCCCCTCCACACCCCCACTGCATTTCTGTTGGTCACCAGGTCCTGAGAGCCTGGGCTGTGGTGGACACATTCTGTGTGGATAGGGAATAACACGGAGTCAGATGGGGTTGCGTCCTGCCCAGTGGAGAAGAGGGGGCTTTTTGCTGGCCTGTCCCCCCCACCTCCTGGTGGCAGCACTTTAGGCACTCATTCTGTCTCTCCGCCATCACTCATTTTTTTTGTTGAAATAACATGATCTTCCATGTCACACATTAAAAACTGCTGTGACCAAATAAAACTAGCATTTCCTTCTCAGGGGCAGGGAGTCTCCAAGGATGCACCTTGAATTAAAAGTTTTTCTGGATGAAAAAACTACATATTTTAAAATAAGAGTAGAGCGCCTATGAATAGCATTGATAGAA